AGTCTCTGATGATCTCACAAATAATGATGACCCTTTACATTAATGCAGATTTACTGACCAAAGACTAGAATGTGTACCCGCAGCGAAGGGAGCTGGTCATGCCATTAAATAATGCAGAATCACAGAGCGACCCAAACTCTTAATTTTTCAGCTCGCTTTCTGATTCACAAAGGAGAAGACTCTGTTTGGTGCTAACTTGTCTTTAACCTCACTTCAGCTCTTGGCAAAAATCAGGGAGTTAGTTTGCCAATGACTAAAATTCAAGTAACACTGATCTAAACCTTTGTCCCTGTGGCAGCTGAGTGAGAGAAATGTGGAAATTATGGAAGAGCCATGTGGTTTAACATGATCCCAACCTGCCAGGAGAAAGCTGAGTCTCAGAGACACTTGGTAACTTGCCCAAGGACTCAGATCACTGTTTCTCCCCCTCTCCAACTTCACGTTTAATGAAGAAAATCACGCCGATAGAGGGTCCTCTGCCATGTAACAGAGATAGCATTTGACTCCATTCTTACTCTGATTTCAGGGTAAGGGCCAAACAAGTCCCTTAGGAACAGAAGGTAGGGGAAAGAACGAGTCTTGTTGGTTCAGGAGACAGATTTCAGAAGTTATTTGGAGAAAGAATTTGGTTCAAAAAAGAAAGAACTTTCTAATGCTGCTGAGGCTGCTACTGGCTGTGTCAGGAGACAGTGTATTTATTTGTTAAAGATATAGTCTTTCCTTCCTAGTGTTGGCTTTCTGCAAATGTGTAGAGATTCTTGATTGCATGATTGTGTGTTTGGGGACCGAATTCTCTTACACACTGAGGTACATGGGGCTCCTAAGATGCTTCCAACCCTGAAATCCTAGTTTGTCTTCAGACAGCTGGGAGAGGCAACTTAGTCTCCTAGGTTACCTCCCCCCCTCCAAAAACAACAAGCTTCTGAGCTTCAGGATGAGGGAGGGGGGAAGCTGAACCAAATGAGGAGATTGGATGTGAATCCAGATTAAATCCTGGAGGAAATGTTTGCACCTGTTACTGGGATGTGATTTACTCTGGGCCAACAGCAGGTGTCCTAAGCCCAATGCCGAGCTTAGGGTCTGGCCACTTGAGGTTCAGCCACTGCTACTCAGGTTAGAGGCCCATCAGACCACCTAGGGTGCTTGTTAGATACAAAGGTAGATCTTCTGGGCCACTTTTCCATGGGATTCTTCTGTTATGGGCTGATTTTGATGGTGGAGATCTATAGGCTACATTTTGCCAGACACTGATCAAAGTGTCTCAGACAGCCATGTCCCAAGATGTGGGCAGTGGGAAAGGTGGAGGGTGCCCTCAGCCAGGATTTGGGAGTGGGTCCAGGAGGCACCAGGTGTCTTTGTCCATTGGACGTTCCTGAGAAGGAAGGAGGGCAAGCTGAAGTTCCAGAGATATTAGATAACAGACTCACAGACACTTAGAGTCTCAGAAACACAGGCTTTTATTCATAATAGAATAAGAGAATCTTAAAATAATAGAATGTCTTCACACTAGAGCTTAGTGGTTAAGAATCAGTGATGCTCAGAGTGTGACCTCTTTGCATGCTCTCCGGATAACTGACATCACGTTATTCAGCCTCTCTGAGCTTCTGTTTCTTCATTCATTAGATCGGCACACGAGTAAGTATAATATAATGCTCCCTAGGACTGTTGACATATAAATGAGTCAGGGCAATTAATGGGCAAGGCATGGAGTCTGGCACATGGTAAGGGCTCCTCAAGCTATTATCACTACCAGGGTAATAGGATCTTAGAGCCAAACGTGACCAGAGAGGTCATCTAGTGGGCCCAACGCTGAGGGAGTGACTCCTGGTGGGAGAGGAATTAATAAAGACACTGGTGTGTTATGGCTCCCTGTTTCAGCTTCTCTCAACCTGGCCCCCTGGTGGTTACCCCCCAGGAGACAGAAGGGACACTTCAACCTTCAAGGGAGTTTGGAGGTCTAGCTCCTACAGACTCTAAACCTGAGAACATCACCCTTCTGCGTCTGACAGGCACTTGGCTGAGCTCACAGGCCAGCTGTCTGTGGGCACCAGTAGGCTCAGCCGAGGAGAGCAGGGCTGCATCTTCCCTCCCCTGGCTCTGGTGTTTAATCAAAACAGTATTCAAAATATAATTCTGGGAGATTATATTGGGAGATTTGCAGGAGGCTCTCAGTGGGGGCAGAGATGGTGGGAACAGATTGCTGCTGGGGGCCTGAGGCTGGGATAATTGCAGGCTCAGACGGGCCATTCTCAGGCCCCTCACCCATACCCCAGGGTGGAGATCTAGACCATCCTTGTATTTTACAGCAGGGAAGACTGAGAGGAAGGGGCTTGTCCACATCACGTAATAAGGTAGTAATGGGATTGAGATGGCAAAGCCATTTTCTGGGATTCCAGGCTACTCTTTGTGGTCCTTTTCATACCTCACTCTCTCAAGCCAACCAGGCCCAGATTTTGGGGACAATCCTGGCTGCAGTCTCCTGCTATGGGTTGGGAGCGGCAGGAAGAGGCCAGGCCTCCCAGACAAGAGATGGAGAGACAACCTCCTGAGGTCCTGGCAGTAAGAAAAGACAACTCAGAAGGTCTTCCTTTCCAAAGGCTCACTGTTCCTATAAAAGGCTCAGTGGCTGGAGGTAGTGTGCAGGCCAGATCCCACCCTTTACTCTCTGTTCAGCCACATGACCTCTGGCTTAGGGGGTCCCTTCTCTCTGGCCTGCGCTTTCCCATCAGTGTGATGCTGAGGGTCCCTCTCCTGCCTCGGAATGGCTAGTTGGAGCCCCACTCCCAACTGGGGGCCCTAAGAACAAGCCTCCACAGACTCTGTAGCCTCCAGAGGGTCTTCCTGGTCCCCCAGGAGGGGGCGTGGCGGAGAGGTCCTTGAAAGAAACCTTCGGCTAATGCTCTTTATTGCAAGTGTTAATCCTGCAAAGCCGACTGGAAATAACGTTTATCTTTTCGCAGTTTAATTTCCCAGACCCTAAGCCACTGGTCAGTGAGGGCGACTGGAGGGTCCCCAGGGTAGGCTGGGGCGGGCGCATCTGTTACCCAGAAGCAGAAGGAAGGCAGGGTGGGGATTTCCCAGAGGAAGTGGGGGAGGGCAGGGTGAACCGAAAAGGACCCTGAGTGGAAAGTTGGGGTCCTTCCCAGCACCGATTCTGTGACCCTGAGCCAGGCCCTTGC